TTACTTCACCTCAGGAATTTGTATTTTAAAATGCAGTCAAGTGTTCCGTCTTCACCACTTTCTGTCTGTCCGTTAGCTTTGCCGTGTCGTATATATCACAGTCTTAACTGTAAGAAGTCAGGGTTATGTGTGTGTGTCAAACTCCTTAAAATCTTCTTAGTGTCATAACGTTCACTAAATAGTGATCTAAGCAAGCTTGTTTACGGATTCTGTTTGGAATACCAACAGGATAAGCACAGGGGTTTATTGACAAAGGTTAAGGGTTAGGGGGTTAGGATAGGAAAGATACCTGCGGTAAGCAAACTGATGATTGTTACATTATATGATAAGTATCATTACTCATTTTTCATCTCTTCAAGTGTTTTTTTTGGAACTTTGCTTTCCAAGGAATTGTTCTTCCACTTCAGGTTCATGTTATTACAACCCACTAAATCTTAATCTGTGACATCACCGGTGTCTGCGGCACATCTAGGATTTGTGGAGCACGAGATTAGAGCTCTATGTCGTCATAAATCTCTGCTTCTCAATTCAGCCGGATGGTGGCAGGTGGGACAGTTGCTAGGTGTCCTCCGTGGTCTTTGGATTCCAAAATGTTTGTGCGTCTATGTAGAGTAAACTTTTACAGGATTTTTTTTAGACCGCAAGTTCTAACTGTCAGTCACGTGGCTTGATGCTCTACATCTGAGCCATTTTTTTGAGAAAGGATTTAACCCAGAACTCTTCGGTGGCTCTCCATGATGAACTACTGCATACCAGACATGTATGAGATGCCTCATGTTGGCATGGGAGGCTACACGATGCAGGGCAGTGGGGAACACTGCATGTACTCAGGTGAGGGGCCCGGGTATGGCCACTGTGAGACCCAGCCCCTGCACCATCCGCCCTGCATGGAGCAGGCTTGGCTGCCCAGCCAGCACTACTCTTGCTCTTACGCTGGTAGTCCTCCGGCTTTTAAGAACGAGTATTGCAACATGGAGATCCCTCTTAGTCACTTCCACCATCAGCCTGAGTATTTTCCTGAGATCAAACCTGACTTCTCACACCTACAGTGGCTGCAGGGCAGAAAAGGTATGACGTCCGATCGTGATTGTTTGAGAACGAGAGATTTTCTCGGCAAAAAGTGTTTTTATGAACTTTCAGGTTTTCAGTCATGAATTATAGATTGAATTGCTTCCTTTGTTATATGGTCTCTCGATGTTGGGTTCCATGTGTCTTTGTTATTCCCTGAAATAGTTTTAGAAGACTCCTCCTTAATCGATGAATCAATGATGTCTGGCATTTTCAATTTAGGTCCAATGAGCGTAAATCCAAGACTAAGAGCATCATGTGGTTGCAAATCTGTGAGCGGGACTTGTTGCATCTGATGGTTGGAGTTTTCAGGCAGCTGGGGGTTCCTTATTGATTGATGCAGAGGCAACAGAAGGCCGATGAGGGATGAATTATTGCTTTCTTCGCAAACCCCCAAAAAAGTATTGATCAGTTTCTTAACCTCAGAGGTCAAAGCACTGATCTCATTAAGATGAATCCCGAATGTGGGCCAGGTGTTAACTCAGTGGGACATCTGGAAGCAACAGTGCTACAGGTGGAAATCAGTGCTGTTCAAATTTGGAGCGTCAGTGACTCAGTCTGTCAATGTGACTTTACTAATACGTTGAAATAAAATTATTAAAATGATAAACCATGAAGTCTTTATCATTATAACTTCTTAATTAACTGTTTAATGTGAAGTTAACATGTTTAAAATCTGGTTGAACGTCTGAGTATATGCTACAACCCAGTCACAGTAATTTAGACTATTATTATTTTCAATCAAATCTAATACTGACGGTCTGTTCTTCTCTCCAGGGTACATACCAAGTTACCTGGACAAGGATGAGCTATGTGTAGTGTGCGGGGACAAAGCCACAGGCTACCACTATCGCTGCATTACCTGTGAAGGTTGTAAGGTAACGCCAGCGAGCCTCAGTGAATTGTAGCAGCAGCTTCATTCACTCGTCATCGTTTGGAAACCGCTCTGAGCATCTGACCGTCTGCTTTTCTAGGGTTTCTTCAGGCGGACGATCCAGAAGAATCTGAACCCGACATATGCCTGCAAGTACGAGGGGAAGTGTGTCATCGACAAAGTGACCAGAAATCAGTGCCAGGAATGTCGCTTCAAGAAGTGCATTGCGGTGGGAATGGCGACGGACTGTAAGTTTCATGAGCTCAGTCGAATGGTTCTTGAGTCAAATTAATGTTGCAGTGTCTGCTTCTTAATGTTTTGTGTGCTTCGTTGTTTCTTTCTTTCTCATAATGTGGAACATCAAACCTGCAGATTTGCATTTTACCTAATTATGGCCAAGGAAAGGATTTTTGAAAAACAATTAATAGTTATGAAAAAATTGGGTTAATCCCATTTCTGACATTTTATAGACAAAATTAAAAACATAATTAATCAGTTAAATAACTCGACTGAACTTTTGCTGTAACGGTGATTTAGGGAGTTTCTCTGGACGTTTACATATCAGCTTCATTCCAAGCTTGTAGAGACTGTTTGATATTTCAAATATAGACTTTTGGGTGGAGCATCACTTTTCAGTGACAAATGTGTCACTTAAATTGTGTACATTTTTTTAATCACTGGTTAAATGCACCCAAACCAAATGCAGTTAATTTCTGCCCAATTTATATTTCCGGTGCGGCCATGCTTTGGCCTCCTTCTCCCTCCTTCCATTCCTGTCCCCACTCATTGTCTCTCTTTTTCTCCTGTGCCTCCCCTCCTTCCACCCCAGTGGTGTTGGACGACAGCAAGCGGTTGGCCAAGCGGAAGCTAATCGAGGAGAACCGGGAGCGCCGTCGAAAGGAGGAACTGCAGAAGACGGTGTGGGACCGACTGGAGCCCACCCAGGAGGAGTGGGACCTCATCCGCATGGTGACTGAGGCCCATATGGCCACGAATGCACAGGGCAACCACTGGAAGCAGAAGCGGAAATTCCTGGTGAGACATCGTCCTCCTCCCTCCCTCCTTTCTGACCACAGGCTTCATTGTATCGATTACCCTGCCTTATCCAGTCCACCTCCCTCCCCTACCTTCGCCTCCCACCCCTCTCAGACCCCTTCCAAGTCATCTCCCTGTCTCCTCCGCCTCCACCACTGTTCCACTGATCCCTGTGTTAATATATCCATGTGTTTTTTTGTATCTCCTTGTAGAGTGGGGAGAATTAGCTGGACGATGGAGAAAAGTGTGTTCTCAACGCTTCTGCACTTATTTATAATGGAACATATTATTCTTGTGTTTTTTTATGTCTTCCCATGCGATGATCGTTGATTGCTGATACTAATAACTTGCTTTTTTCGTGCAGTTTCACTTTTCTTTCTTTCTGTCTTCAGCTTTTCAATTTCTCACCTAATATTTTTGTTTATTTGACTAATTTTTATTCTTTTCTGTGAAATTTAATCGCTCTGTCCAGATTGAAAGTCTGTCAGCTGCTGACTTTACATTGGGTTTCTATGGCAGCATCAGAGGAAACACTCATAACCCACCAGGAGCGTTTCAGAGCGTCTGCTGCCCGTTCCTTTTTTTTTATATTTTGTTCTGTTGGTTGTTTTTTTTATATCTCTCGTCATCTGCAGTGAAAAATCCGTGACCAATTTTGAGTCTGCACGGTGTGTTTTATTTTGAAAATGTATCACAATGATCTCAGCCATTCCTGTTCTGACCTTTTGCCCGCCTCATGTCTGCTCTGAGCAGCTTGAATGAGAGGATATTTTTCCTAACCACTCTTGAGACGGGAATAGTTTTTCATATTTAGTTACTTTCACGCTTAAATCACATTACATGATGGTATTGAACTGTAAAGCACCAATCACTACTTTAGAAATTAAAAAAACAAACCTGATTGAGGTTTTGGCTGATTTAAGGCACGTAAGCCATCGTCACAAAATTCAGCATCGTGCACAGTCGTTTGGGTGTTTCCGAGTTGTGGTCCTCCTGATTCTCGCCATAGAAACCCATCTTGGATTTCTGTCCTCCACTGTTCTCTATCTGCACACTCTTTCATCTGTTTTCAGTTTAACATGTCTTCTTTTTAGTTGGCTTGACACGGATTCTTCATTGAAACTTCACGATTCCTGTTGATTATCCAACAGGTCGAGGAAGCTATGCTTCTTAATGAAATAACATGTAATTTATTCTATACTTCTGACCAGAGTGCAGCGGGGGTGAAGGAAGATAAGGTGAGACACAGCAGACAAACATCCATATTAAAAATGATATACTGGCTAACAAATGGTGCCTGATACAGTGTGTAGTCTCACCCCCAGCATTTACTCACAATGTTTAACACATTTGAATACGTTGTATGAAAACATGTCTTTGTTTAAACATGCCCATTTACATCTACATGGTTTATACTCCTCCTATTATATTCTCACTGCTAGGTTTGATAAATGCTGTTGAATTTTTACAAACTTGGAGGCTGTTCAGACACTGACGCTCCCTTCTTTTCTTTTCAGCCTGAGGAAATTGGTCAAGCGTCCATGGCAAATACACCTGAAGGAAACAAAGTGGATATAGAAGCCTTCAGTCAGTTTACAAAAATTATCACCCCTGCCATAACCCGAGTGGTGGACTTTGCCAAAAAACTGCCTATGTTTTGTGAGGTAAGTGTCGCTGCTTATTAAACAAGGCTTCGAGAACATAGTGTGTCCCGTCCCGTCTCGTCCCGTGTCGTCCTCCCCCCCAAGTGGTTGACACCTGTTGGAGTTTCTACAGTAAAGCCAATAATATGTCACAATAGATTCATGGTCTGATTGCCAGACACCACTAACTACAGAATAATACATTCAGTACATAGATACATCATGAATCTTTAATTAACATATTTTTTTATTAATGTTATGTGTCTATATAAAAATAGTACATAGATTAAATATCTTAGGTGTAATATTGAATTAAGACTAATACATGATAAACATGAGATTTCACTTTAGTGTTTATTAATATTTATTTAATTTGTATATAGTTACTTACTTACCTTGATATAGTTACTTATTTAAAAATGACTGTCAAACAATTAGCTTTCCACATTGTTTTGTTTTCATATAATTGTGAATTTTCCAGTTTTAAAGTGACAAAACTAAAATAAATGTGTGAATGCACATCCTGCCAATAACAATGCTTTTCTGTCTCCTTATGCTCAGTTGCCTTGTGAAGACCAGATCATCCTGTTGAAAGGCTGTTGCATGGAGATCATGTCGCTGCGAGCTGCTGTTCGCTACGATCCGGAGAGCGAGACTCTCACGTTGAACGGGGAGATGGCGGTCACGCGGGGTCAGCTTAAGAACGGAGGCCTGGGTGTCGTCTCAGATGCCATCTTCGACCTTGGCGTGTCGCTGTCCTCCTTTAACTTGGACGACTCAGAGGTGGCTCTTCTACAGGCGGTCATCCTGCTTTCATCCGGTGAGCAATGGACTCTGTTTACACACATGAATACATTTTTATTCTTATTTTAATTTTTAAAATATCCCTTATTTTACAGCAGACCATTTTTAATTCGGGACAATAGTTACCAGACCAGAATCTATCTTTTTGAGGAAAGCATTAAAACTGCATTAGAGACTTTGAAAGACATAATTTATCATTTATATATACATTTACAAACGAAAAGAGCAGGAACAAAGGAATCAGGATCTGTCTGTAAATCACAATGGTCACTTATCCCAGCATTCAATCAATTAATCACCCTAATCATTGCATGGAGCTTTGTTCAGCTACTCTTATTTGGTTTTGCCCCCATCACCATTTCTCTGTGTGACGCTCTGCATCTCATTGGAGATCAATATTGTTCTGCTGTGTGTTGTGCATGTAGACATGACATGGGGTTAACCTGCCCATCTGCTTTGCCTTCTGACACACTTACAGCGGAGGTTTAATCAATAGTGTTTTCTGCTTCTAAAACCAGTGTTCCTGCTTTGACACTCTATACAATAATCAGCTATTTCTATTTATACCAGAAAAGCCTACCACTGAATGTCAGGATAAAAATGTAGAGAATATTATCCATATAAAATAAGTACAGCGACACAAAGCCAAACAGTCCCCTTATGAAAGTTTTACCTTAAAGGTTCAGTGTGTCGAATATAGTGACATCTAGTGGTGAGGTTGCATGTTGCAGCTGAACACTCCTCACCTCACCATCCCCTTTCAAACATTAAAGAGAACATGTGGTCACCTTCAGTTGTCATAAAAACTCAAAAGGATTTAGTTTGTCCAGTTTGAAATACTGTAAAAAACATGGCGGCCCACGTAGAGACTTTAAATATTAAGTATTTAATTATAAAAGGTCGATTCTAGGGTAAAGAAAACAACAATTCATATAATTTAGATGAAACACACTAATGAAAATATCAATAGGATTATTTAATATTAAATTTCAATGCCAATTGATCCCTTCCCCCTAAATCTTACACACTGAAGCTTTAAATCCCTGTTGTATTTTTACTAGTAACATTAACGTTCCTTCTGCCTTCAGATCGGCCAGGCCTGAGTAGTGTGGAGCGGATCGAGCGCTGCCAAGAGGAGTTCCTGCTGGCCTTTGAACATTACATCAACTACCGCAAACACAAATTGGCACATTTCTGGCCCAAGCTGCTAATGAAGGTGACGGACCTGCGGATGATCGGCGCCTGCCACGCCAGCCGATTCCTCCACATGAAAGTGGAGTGTCCCACCGAGCTATTCCCTCCTCTCTTCCTGGAGGTCTTCGAGGACTGACCAATGGATTCAAGTGAATGCGTGTGTGTCTGTGTGTGTGTGTGCGTGTGCATCCGTCAGCGCCTGGGCACCCTGGTGGTCTCAGGGGTGGAACCAGCAGAATGGCCGTCACATTGAACTTTATATTAGCACTACTGAGTGTCACTTCATTCCATAAGTTAGGAGTAGCTCTCTGGTCTAGTTTTGGATGGAACCATTCCTTACAGTGCGGGTACATTTTTTTTTTGTCTGTTCTGTTGTTGTTATTTTTGTGGATATAACTTCTCACCTCGAATATGTGTTGATGATTGTACAGTTGGCATAATGGTGATTTTATCGACGCTTGTTTATTCATTAGAAACCATGCAAATGTTGTATTTTCCTTCCTTTATGTTGAAAATTTCAAAATGGCTGCTCACCGGACATACAAACCCCCCCCTTGCCTGCCTGCTCGACTTTATTGGATCCATTTGTTGGTTGATATTTTAATCGTCCTGTAGCTTGTCATCTACTCGCTATAAAACTATGACACGACACGTTAACGGCATCACTCACTCACTCTAATGGACAGCAGCTCCACGGGCCTGGGTACGTCTCTGCGTTACCTTTCATCGCAATGTTAACGCCGTCATGCAGCATTTCAGAGATGTCGGGAAAAATCGGATTATTTGCAACAGAACTGCGGGTTAAGACGAAAGTCTGAGTCAGAAATGACGCAGAGCTTTTCTGGGACGATTGTATTCAGTGTCACACAGTAAACATAGCAACAAACACTGTTCCACATTAGCTTCTGCACTACGTCAGCCTGTTAGGGCCAAAGGACAAGAGTGTTTATCTGTGAGGCTCGTTTTACATTAAGCTGAATATTCTGAGTGTTTCTCAGACAAACTCGTCAATTTGCTGACATTATCTCAACATCATGGAAATTGTATAAACCACATGATTAAATAAATCATCAAGAAAATACACAGTAGATTCATCCATAATAATAACAGTTAGTAACAACTGCTTCATAAGCCAGCACTCTGAATGACAGACGTACAGCAGGGCGCTAGTTTCTCTTATTCCATGGCTCTAAATTTTGTGTCCTATCAGCGTTTGAGTGAAGAAAGTCTTGTGTCCGTGTCTGTTGCCTTTATTTTTACAGAGTGGACCATGAAACACACATACTCTCCATCCAGACTTGCGACATCGAGAGGAATGCAGCGGTAGCATTAACAATGAGCCTGGTCATCGTCACCACAAACTGGTCAGGACTAACTAAAGCACACAATGACGCTGATGTCATAAAAAGACAATCATGTTGTATTCGGTTTGTTTGTGTGTAACAATGCCACATGCTGTGCCAAAACCAAGTGAATGATGCCCTCCGTATTGAATCCCTGCTTGGGTCGTCATTGCGACTCCAGCACTTGATTTGCCCTGCGAGTTAGCGCGCGCCGCTCACAGACTCGTTCCACTCACAGCTTTGAGTTCGAAGTGTTTCAGCGCAGCTCACTAGTCACACAACGATTTCAGCCATTTTTCTTTAGTTTTCTTTTATTATAGTCCGACTCCCTGCACACGGGAGGCTGTATGTTTAAACAGTGACGTCATGGTGCTATGGTGGGTTGGGAAAATGGCTGATTGGACTGTATTGTTATCTTTGTGCAGAGACAAACATTAACTGTTCGCATAACAGCCAACCACCCTCTTATGATGGCATGCATATACACTAACACTCAAACACGCACACATACTCACAGTATACCTTTCACACACATGCACATACATGTATATGCACACATGCATGTGCCTACATTAACACATAGGTCAGACCCCACCACTGTGACCAAACAGTGGGACTTGGAGGCCAAGTGAACGTTGGCTGGCCCAAAAACTGATTTATCTTCACAAAGGTACACTGAGGGAACTAGTGAGATTGTGAAAACGTAGCGCTTTATCTGTTTTTTTTTTATTTTAGCCGATATGTTCTCTTTTTTTTGTCGTTTTAAACGCTTCTCAATGGTCTTGTTGTTTGCAATGTGACAAAAAATACATTTGCTTTGTATATCTCGCTTTTTCAAGCTTCACAATACTCCTCAAAGCCGCATGTGTTTCTTTTCTTTTTTTTTCTTTTCTGTGAAGTGATGCCTTTTTATCAAAGCAATAGACTTGCTGCAGTGTTTGAATGACCCGGACCTCACACACACACCTCGCAAACTGTACAGACTCAATATAAATGCACAGACAATCAGAGGGAGAGAGATGAATGGGGGAACAGGCACCCAGACTCAGGCGGTCAGTCCGGTCGGGCTGGGCCATGCTGAGCCACGGCCATTTGGAAAAGTAACATTGACTATGTTTGCATGCACCCCTCACCTCCACAGTGCTGTTCAACTCATGTGATACTCTGAGCCTGCCAGTAAAAACATCAATGAAAACATTTGGTCAGTTATTACAAGCAGGAGTGACTTACTAAACCATAACAGACTGATTTACAGAATTTGATCAGTCCGATATTTTGTTACTAGATTGGTAAACTGGCCTTTATCCACCAAACAGTCCAAGGAGCTAAACTCAGGAACAAAATAAAAGGACCTTAAAGTCTCTTTAGTACATTTGTGTTGTATTTCAACTGCGTCTGAAGAGCCGTAAAAATCTAAATAGACAGTATATTTAACAAATTAGACGTCAAATGGATTAAAATGAACAATTGTTTGAGACTTTTTTATGTAATGAGAAAAGGATACTGTCATCCAGTGGTCTTTTGTAATTGACTATTTCATTAATGTTTAATGCTCTACATTAGTAACAACACTGCTATCTCGCTCTTACCTCTTTTGTGAAACTTTTTAGACTAGTCTCAGGAATTTGGCTGCATAACTTTCTTTAAACATCGACAAAATCCCATGCTCAGCCCCAGTATGCTGGCACCAACTGTAGCTTGCCTGCTTGCAGTCTGGTTGACAGATGTACACAAACACACACACACACCCGTGCTGTTTGTATGATTGTGTTTGACCTGTCACTGACATACAGTACTGTTAGCACCACATACTACCTCAGGAGCGGGGGGGCCTTTTTGGAGGATGTACACTGTGGCCTGGGAACCAAAACTGGAACTATGTTCCTGAGGTCGAAAATGTTAAGTTCCTGAGTGACTGTAAATGTTTCTGGATCCCTGCACAGGTAAAAGGCCACAATGAGAGCTAAGATAATTGCACAAAATAAAAAGTGAGTAATTTTAAAGCTGCATTAATTGATTCTTTTGCCACTAGGGGGCAAAACAATTATTTTTTTATTCAAGGGTGTTCGTGTCCACCAGAGGAAATGTGAGTCCAATATTCAGTCTCGTCAGCGTTTGATTTCCGCCAATTCCTGATTGAAATTTTTTCGACTTTTCAGCTGCTGCATGTTCAACTTTCTTCACCAGTCAGCACACAGTTGGTTTATCAGGCACCTGGAAAGATCCTGAGTAAACAAGAGCAGTGAGCTGTAAAACACTAAATACATGTCGAGCTGTAGATTTTGGTCAAAGTTATCTGTGGTCACTTTTCACAATAAACATTTAAGGATATTGATGTTGAGTTAGCCGCAGCCTTTCACAGCTTATGGGAACAATCACTGTTGAACCCTTTAACACCCTCGGCTGTTTAACCTTCAGCTCACCATCGCATATATTCCGCACGATTTCTTTGATATTTACAGAGCGATCCATCTTTTCTAAAGCTTTTTTCTGAATCAAGGTTTGTGGATCATTTTCCCTCAGTAGACTTGTACAGACAAGAAGATTACTGTGACCAAGTTCTCTCCCTTCCTGCTTATGGGCAGTGAGTATAAAATGGAGATACACTAGTACTAATGTTTAAAGATTAGACTGCTTTGTGGCTCTAGAACATAAATATCAAGTGTAGAGTTTAACTTTGAGTTAGAGCTTGAAGTTTTATCAAAAGTAAGAGCATGAACTAATCTCCCTGACTGCACACTGTCGAACTCACCAAGTTTAAGAGATAAACTTTAGTTTAACCTCCACTCCAAAGGAGTAAGCCAGGTGCTACAGCAGTGTTCTAAAGTCACAACATTTCATCTTATTGCTTAAGTTTTTTTAAGTCAGCTGTTTGGTGGTAAAACACCCCAAGAGGCTGAACTCACTAGTTTTACAAATTGTGTCCTTATAGAGTTGCTACAGTTTAATAAACTATTTTCTATGCTCACTAAAATCAGCACCACTTTGTGTGTCTGCCGACCTGATTACCTCTTTCTCTTGACCGGCTCTGCTCCTGTTCACCCTCCGTTGTCGTTGTCTATCTTGATGTCTGCTGTGTGTCGCTGGGTCGGAAGTGTTAGCTGAGCTTTTAGCTGATAACAGCCGCCAGTTTAACGGCATTTTCACACCTGAATGTCCAGACCATGGTCCAAACCCAACATTCACATTCACATTAGATTTGATCCGGTTAGTTCTGGTTTCACATTGTAATTTAAGAAGCGGATAAAATACTTTTGTGTGACAGATGTACGTCATGTCGTCATCACCTACATGGGCTGTGACTGCCTATACCTTGACGTTGACGTGTTGTCAGTTAGAAATTTGTAAAACATCATTGTTGGAGCTGTAGTATATTTATGGTAGTAGTACTAGCATCACCAACTTCAGGTGCAGTACGCCACACTAGGCCAAATGCGCCCAATGAAAGTCCTAGTACTCAATACTGGGAGCCCCTTCCACTTCTTTTTCTTTTTGTATTGTTTGAATTTCATGCAATTGGTGCAAATCATACAAAAGAAAGCTTTCATACTGCAAACAAACTGAACTATTGTTCATTTAATATTGAGACCAACTGTGGTCTGTTGGTCTGGACTGTGGTCTGAGGCACCTTTCACACCTGTCAGTTTAGTCTGAAGGTCTGGATTAAACAAGGTATGTGTGAAAGTCTTAGGACAGACTCACAGCAGTACAGCTGTGGACCATAAAACCGAAACAACGGGCTGAAAGGTGCTAAAATGTTCTGTACAGTTGATTGGACACGTGATACTTCCCTGTGGGTTCGACACTGCGTGTGACCCGGTTGTCCTTCGACTCTGTGTTCGAATAAGAATTAATCAAATGCAATTAGTGCAGCTTTAACTCAAATCCAAACAAAGATCAGTGGAAACAGTACGAAACGTACTCTACGTGTACACACAAATGTGATGTGTGTTTTGTACAGTGAGTACAAACTGAATGAATGGCCCCTTAAACAGTTTAAAATTGCACGAATGTCACATCATTACTTGAATGATCATATTCACAGGGGCTGTTGGTGCATGGAAACATAGTCAACACTGACTGCTGGTTCGTTAAATGTTTACTGATCCTGAGGAGGTGCCAGTACGCTCTTATCGCTCCCACGAATTGTTACTCTTAATGTTACTCAGTTATAAACCTATAACAAGAGTTGCACCATAGAAAAGCTATTTTACAGTACAAAGGAAAAAGGATGTATATTTTCAGACTGCAGATTTTTTTTTTACAGATGTTAGCATAATATGAACATACTGTTTTGCATAGACTTAAAAAAAAATGGCATCTTGCTCTCAAATCCATGTCCACATCTACAAAAGAATTATGAGCAAGATGATATGAATCATGGAAAAAAAATCAAACACTTAAATTAGTGCAGCATTAGTTCTACGATTAAAAAAAAAAAATGTCTGTGTCTTGACTTCACTGTCAGTACAAAGCAGCACAGCTCCACACGAACACAGCTGATGACAACTTCTTGGTCAAAGTGTAACCAGCATCAGAAAGAAAAAAAGTCATCCACCGTCGACACAGATTTCTCTCCTTGTGTGTATTAGTGTCTTCTTGTTCAACTCATCTGTTCAACACGTACAGGAAAACCGTCGCAGAAGGGAGGGATTCAGTGTGTGGAGGCGCAGGAGTGAATCTGTGGACTCAAACCACGAGATGCACAAGGTTCTGTTTCTAATTTGCTGTCTTGCACTCTGCATTTTACTGGAAATGTGGTCCAGTACTGCACTGTCCAGCTGTGGACGTTGCTTCGACATGAGCGGAGGACTTGAAGGTGAAATGAGTTGCTCATGGTTGAGGATGATGCAGCTAATGTGAATTGGCTCTTGAGAATAAAGATGGTTTTGAGAGAACTTGGTTGTGTTTCTGCTTCTCTTGTAATTTCATTTTCGGGGTATTTTCATACTTTGTATTTTGACTGTCATAGTGTTCTTAAATGTAATCTATTTTTTTTTTTTTTTCTAACCAGATTTCTCTTGTCCTATCCTGCACTGAAGTGTTATTGCTCTGCATGACTTTATTTTTCGCTCAGGATGAAAGTAACACCCTGTTTCTCACTGTGCATCGTGTCCATTATGTTACCAGACTTGCTTTTGACGTCGTTTGTCCTTTGACTCATGGCGTGGCTGTGGCTCAGGAGGTAGAGAGGGTCGTCCACTAACCACAAGGTCAGTAGTTTGATCCCCAGGTTCTCCAGTCTGCATTCCGAGGTGTCCTTGAGCAAGACAATGAACACCAAATTGCACCCTCTGGTTGTACCAATAGTGTGTGAATGATGTGTGATAGAAAAAGTGCTTTGATGAATGTGTCTGTAAATGGGTCGATGAGACTGAAAAGAATGAATGACTATAGATTGAAACATTGAGAATTTCAAGGTGCAGTCGAACCAGAGCCATGAACGACCTCCTCTCTGGCGTGGAGAACCAGAACATGAACAGGCAGCAGAAACACACATGAGACAAGCTCAACGTTTACATAAATAGATGAAGGGACAAACACGAGCGGAGAGAGGGACAGGCTGTGTCTGCTGGAGGATGAAGATCCAGATCCAAACCGTCTGGAGCAAGGAATCAACAGCCAGGGAAGAGAGAGAGAGATGCTATTTGTGTAAGAACACATAAATCAGTGCCTGGAGGAGTTATTCCCTGTAATTCTAAATGATTCTCTGAAATTCTTGGTGGTGATCGGGCCAGTGTTCACACTCTTTCACATTTTGCAGGTTATTGTCTTGCAGATTTAATTTTAATTGGAAAAAACTGCATTTTAATACCACTCTTATACATCTCTTTAATATTCAGAAAATTGGTCAGGTCCACCTGTTAAAAATGAACTGAGGGTTTAGTTTTATAGGCAAAGTCTGAGGGAAAAGATTCTGTGTTCAGATGTGACCAAAACGCTGTCAACACAGACAGGCTCTCTTGTAGCAGTGTCTCTGTGTTCACTAATGTAGCTCAAATATTGATCTTGACTTGAAGGCCATAATTACTCTATTAGCTGAAATATGAGAATGTCAACGTTAGACTTTGATTCTTGCACTAGTGTGTGAGCTGCAGGGAGGGGCGGCGAGCGGACACACAGAGTGGAAGCTGCTTTGTTGCCACCTGCTGATAGATAGTGACACTGCCACAGTCCCACTCATGACGAGCTGTGGCTGCTGACAGCACAAAAACCTCTTTGTACATCTGCTTCCAAACCAACTGAGGCTTTGCAGAGAGATGAGCTGAAGATTCAGTCTTTTTTTCCTCCGTATATAAATCACCACGTAATTATTGTCACTGTCATTATAATTATAATACATTCAACAAAACATAGATACAGACCATGTCAAAGGTTTAGAGTTGGTCGAGTAATTACAACAGAACTCACCAGTGTCCTTGTGCAGGTCTGGGATCATGGACACTGTGATCGTGGATGATGAATACAACTAGATGCTTAGATTATATAATATATCTACTTATTGCTGCTCCCTTCATCTCTGCCAGAGCTTTTCTTTGGTATAAATTCTTTAAACATTGATCCACCTTTGCATTTATATTAGACACTGTCTTTTAGCATCAATGGTGTAAATATTGTTGTTTTATTGATGTGCTCTGTTAAACATGACATCTATTGCACTTCTGTCCGTCCTGGGAGAGGGATCCCTCACATGTGGCTCTCTCTGAGGTCTCTACATTCTTTTTTCCCTGTTAAAAGGGTTGTTGGTAGTTTTCCTTCCTCTTGCTGAGGGTTAAGGACAGAGGATGTCACAGCTTGTGATATGTGAATATGGGCTATAGAAATTGATTGATTGAATTGTGTGTAATATTATTGTGTCTTGTATCTGTGTGGTTGGAGGGGAATAATGGAAAGGTCATTACTGATAAATGTGTAGGTCCAGGAAACAAGACGTCAGCTTCTATACTCCACAGTCACAGGGATCACTCAGGAGCCAAAACCTGCCAATCAAAAACAGTAACAGAAACATTAACAGTTTCTTTACATCTGGCAATAATGGCAAAGCTGATTAGAATTGTGGCTCAGGAGGTAAAACGGGTCATCCACTAATCAGAAGGTTGGTGGTCACTGAACCCCAAATTGCCCCTGACTGCTGTGCTGACAGTGCGAGAGTGATAGAGAAAGTGCTGCTCATAGATGCACTGTATGAATTAGTGTGTGGACGGCACAACTGCACTGAAACAGTGTCAAGACTGTATAAACACAGACCATTTAACCAAAGGTCAAAGTCATTGCAACCTCTCAAACGGCTCTAAGTCAAGAATGCACATTGGATAAAACAACAATGTCAACGGTCAGCTTCACTGTGACGTCTCCATGCTGCATGTTGCAGAGATATTGAACATGTTCCATGTTTGGTTGGACACTGAGCTGAGTTGGTGACACTAATAATGAGTGACCCCACTGTACACATCCACTGCAGCAACATCCATATCTGAAGCATGGTCTACTGACACTCTGCACTCCATCAGAATCAGATTTATTGTGATGTGATCACATAAAAGCAGTTTGACTCTGGCAACAGCTGTGTGAACACTATGTTTTCAGGTGGACCTCCTGTCCCACTCCTGTGAATCTCAGGAACGAATTTGGATGAATTGATAACATTGTAGTGGTCAAGGTTCAAATGTCACTGTGACCTCATGAAAATGTTTTAGCCATAAATCAAGAATTTAAGGGCTGATTATACAAGTCAGGACAGACATTGATGTAAGCTGCAACTTGACTGGCTAGTGCAGGTGTACTGTAATTCTGGTTGATAACTATAGAGTGCATACCTTTCCAAAGGCCCAACATTTCCCTTGACATCAGTAAAACTGCACCACATTTCTCACACTTCTATAGATATAAAAATTATAATAATAGTAATAATCTTTATTTACAGAGCACTTTTCAAAACACATGTTTTGAAGTGCTTTACAAGGCAGCAGAAAAACATCAGGTTTAGAAGAAACAGGTAAAATAAATGAGTGTATAAATACAACTGCTGTGTAAAATGCTCATTAAAATAAATTAAAAGACAGTTATTAAGAAAGTTAAGACGTAGCTAAAACCAGCAAAGGCTGTTTGATAAAAGTATGTTTTAAGAAGAAGTGACTTAAAAGAGTTAACTGAGGCCGCTGACCTGATCTCCTCAGGCAGGTTGTTCCAGGGCCTCGGGCCCAGACTGCAAATGCTCTGTCCCCCTTAGTTTTTCGCCGGGCCTCTGGAGCAGACAACAGAGGAGCTCAATGTGCGTTCTGGTGTGTATGATACTAAAAGGTCAGCGATGAAGCAGGGAGCGGGGCCATGAAGGGCCTTCAAAGTGATCGGTAAAATCTTAAAATCGATTCTAAAACATACAGGGAGCCAGTGTAAAGATGATGATCGCCCCCTGGTGGCTGACTGAAGTATAGGTCATACACCTCATCTACTCCATGTAAATGGATGGGACATGGACCAAACTAAAAAGTCAAAGTACACATTAATAAATTTGTATCAAAGATGGTTTCTATGATTTATGGTAGTTATCACACCAATGTTCTTTTTTCCAGTGATTTTGGTTTTAATAAGTTACTTGATGCTACAGAAACAGGGTGAAATGTCATAATTGAAAGCTGAGACTAACTTTAGATTGGTCAAGTGCGTGTGTCAGAAAGGCGTCACTACAGCAGGTCCATCCTGCCATCGCTGCTGCTCAGCCTGTGACTCAGAATTCACAAGATGGCAGCTTTCGTAATGCGATATTTTACCTTCATTTGTGGATAGTAGGAGAAGGTGGAGACATGTCGTGCATCTATATAAACAAATTATTATTTGCACCTTTTAAACTTTAAAATACTCAAATTAATACATTTTCCATTTAGACCTTAGAGATAATTCCCTTTAACAAGCATGTGATTAACAGATTGTACTCAATTCAGACACAAACCACTCCACAGCATGAAATGCATTTAGAAAATTTATTCATACAGATATATTCATCTATACATTTATGTATGTATGATAGTATGTGTATATATTTATATAGAAATCTATGCATTCTGCAATCCTTTCACAGAGGAGAACAGAGCCACAGTTTAGCAATGTTAACACAAAGACAGAAGCTCTGGATATCCAAGGCCAGACATTCTGAATTCAACATCGGAACGAAAAGATGGCATCACAAAAACTATCTGAACACCAGCAACTCGGATGTCACCTCGACTCAGCTTATTTCTTTACGCTACAATCACTTCAGTGATATTACAGTCATTTTTTTATGTAGAACAGTCCTACCTATTCAGTTTACTATGCTCAACTTAAGTCTTTACAGTTTTTTTTAAATGAAAAAGAAACTAAGTTCATTCAAGCAAGTGGAAGTTGCTGGTGACAGCGAGTGTCAGCAACATTAAGTGCCTGAGGAAACTAAGCATGACCCAGGACAAGTAGGACAGCAGACACTGGAATCTCAGAAATATGTTGTTTTTTTTTGTTATGGAAAAAAATATGTAGGAGAAGAGAAAATGTATCTTCAAGAAAGACGCTTTAAGTCCAAACTCTGATTTCAATCGTTCAGTGTTTCCACTGATCTGTGAGTAGAAATCCTGTGTCGCCAAGCAACAGAGCGACAGCAATACATTTGATTTGTCACAATGCCCAAATAATTTAGAAAAATATCCTGCAACTGACAGAAACACAACATAGTACACACACAACTGCATGAGAAAGCTTCAAATGAGACATCGCCTTCTTCTGCTTATCTAAGTCAAATGAAACCTCTGATTTCTCTGAGGACCAAAGTGTAAAGCTGAGTCGTTTACGCAGCTCCACGTCCACATTCCTCTAATTGTCGTCTGCTTTTTTTTTTAAGAGGATGCCACTGAGACAGTTATTCAGC